GGGGAAATTTGACCCAAATAAAATTTGCAATTATTGTCATGAGAAAGGACATTGGAAAGCAGATTGTTTTGTTCTTAAAAATAAGTCCAAACGTCTTACACAGGGTTCACATGTTAAGCCCACAGTTCTTGCGGCGCCAATTCAGGTTGTGGAAGATAAATCTGTTGGGAATAACAACCCTGATGTTTTTTTTTCTTCTTACACTCCTTTTGTTACAGAAGGTCTTGTGTCTCTCGTTGGCGAGAAAGAAGAGATTCCAGTTAAAATTCTAAGGGACACTGGAGCCATAGATTCATTTATCTTGGAATCAGTTTTGCCTTTTTCCCCACAGTCTTATATGGGTGAGGATGTGTTAATTCGGGGAATAGGATTAAATACTCTGTCTGTGCCACTTCATAAGATTGAGATTCAGTCTGATTTGGTGCAAGGACAGGTGGTAGTGGGAGTACGCCCTGCTTTACCAGTGGATGGAATTCATTTGATTCTGGGAAATGGACTAGTAGGTGATCGGGTGTGGGCTGATAGTTCAGTGTTTCCTGCGGTTAATTCAAATAGTAAAACCACTACTGAGTCGAATATTTTGTGTCCGGATACTGTGTGTGTTGTGACTCGTGCAAGGGAACGTGAAAATGAGGAGTCGTGTGGTGAAAAGACATGTACTCCGAAGGATAGCCAAATTAAAATATGTACCAATGTGTCAATGCCTGATTTGTCTGCTTTGTCTTTTCCTGTCTCCGCAGTGGAATTGGGAAAAGAACAGCACAGTGACTCCTCGTTGGATGAACTGTTCCAGAGTGTTGTTTCTCCAGGTGAAGTGGATAGCGTGGCTCGTGGCTATTTTGTTCACGATGGGGTGTTGCTGCGAAAATATGTTCCTCACAAGGATGATTTTGTTGGAGATCCTGTTTTCCAGTAGTTGTTCCTGTAAAGTATCGACAAATGATGATTGAAATTGTGCATAATCAATTGGGTCACCAAGGGGTGCGTAAAACCTATGATCGCTTGTTGCGATTTTTTTTTGGCCACGTTTGAAGCGAGAGATTTCTGCTTATGTTAAAAGGTGTAAGATCTGCCAACTAACTGGCAAACCGAATCAGGTGTTAAAACCTTTTCCTTTGCGACCAATTGAAGCTACTGGTGAACCTTTTGAACATCTTATTGTTGATTGTGTAGGGCCATTACCTCGCTCAAAGTCAGGAAGCATTTATTTGTTCACTGTTATGTGTTTAAATACACGTTTCCCTGCGGCATACCCATTGCACAGTATTACTTCTCGCTCTATTGTCAAAGCTTTAACCCAATTTATATCAGTCTTTGGAATTCCAAAAGTCATTCAGAGCGATCAAGGCTCAAACCTTACTTCTCACCTCTTCCAGCAAGTGTTGAAACAGCTGCGCATTAAACATAACCAGTCTACCGCGTACCACGCTCAAAGCCAGGGTGCTTTAGAGAGATTCCATCAGTCATTAAAGTCACTGCTTTCTGTGGTTCAGGAGTGGCTTAACAAGAGGAATACGACAACTGTAGCCAAATTCCTTGACACGTCTGTGTGTGGTGGCTCTTGATGCCTTGACCCCAGCCTCAGTCCATTCCTTGTGAAGTTCACTCAAATTCTTGAATCGATTTTGCTTGACAATCCTCATAAGGCTGCGGTTCTCTCGGTTGGTTGTGCATCTTTTTCTTCCACACTTTTTCCTTCCACTCAACTTTCTGTTAACATGCTTGGATACAGCACTCTGTGAACAGCCAGCTTCTTTGGCAATGAATGTTTGTGGCTTACCCTCCTTGTGAAGAGTGTCAATGATTGTCTTCTGGACAACTGTCAGATCAGCAGTCTTCCCCATGATTGTGTAGCCTAGTGAACCAAACTGAGAGACCATTTCGAAGGCTCAGGAAACCTTTACAGGTGTTTTGAGTTGATTAGCCGATTGGCATGTCACCATATTCTAATTTGTTGAGATATTGAATTGGTGGGTTTTTGTTAAATGTGAGCCCAAATCATCACAATTAAAAGAACCAAAGACTTAAACTACTTCAGTCTGTGTGCATTGAATTTATTTAATACACGAGTTTCACAATTTGAGTTGAATTACTGAAATAAATGAACTTTTCCACGACATTCTAATTTATTGAGATGCACCTGTATATACTTAATATCCTCCATACTTACATCAACTTGGCAACAATGTTTTTTATGTTGAACATATGGTTCCTCTGACTGAAATATAATAAATCCCTGTTTACACAGATTTTCAAAAACGACTAAAAATGCAGTATTATGCATGCCAGGCCAATAGCTGGCAGTGTCACTTTATAAGGAAACACTACGCATCTGCACACATACCTATAGACTAAACACATAATACGCATGAGCATATAACATCACCATTTTCACAAATTCATGTTTTTGTAGTTTACACCGAGACAATAACGCTACTGTTTTCAAAAACTTGCACTTTGAAGGTTTGCATTTTCAGGCCCCTAAAAACACAGTTGTTGTGTAAATGCCACCTTTTAATTGTAAATGCTGTTGTGTAAACGCCACCTAAGATATATATTTTAAACCATATCACCACCCCTACAAATGGTTAAAACTCCTTGCTGCTAACACAAAAGTTTCAGTCTCAGCACATGCTAGGAAGTGGAAAGTTACTGATTTTAAAATCCAGCTCCATCACTATTGTCCTTGAGCAAGGCACTTAACTCCAGGATACTCCAGGGGGACCGTCTTTGCAATTTACTCTACTGTATAGTGCTATGGATGAAAGCCTTTTATGTAATCTTGTGGAGAGCTGGCTATATTTACACATGAAGGGCAGATGTACAGTACCTGTAAAACTGCAGCTTTCTCTTTGGACTCCCATATCGAGCTCTACAGCAAAAAGAAAAAAGGAGTGTTAGTACAACTTAGTTTGTGCTTTTTAACTTTATTTAGTGAAGGTGGGAAAGAATAATATAAATATAATGCATTGGTTATGTATTGGTCATATAGGTCTTTTCATTTATCAGTAACCTATTGACTCTCTTTGAGTGTGAAGGTTCTGCTCACGTATAAGGGGATCCAGTCTGCCGTGTGGAGAGACGAGCAGGGGAATCAGTGTTGGGTTCAGGGTACATGGAGCCGTGAGGGAGGAGAGACCAGCTGACAGCTCTCACTCAGACTCTCAGCTTCTGTACAGAACACAGAGAAAATATCTGTTAAAAAAAGCAAAGCAGTGCATGGCCAGGAAGTGGCACCAATTATTTGTTTTGTGCCACTCATGGGGAACTCACTGTACACTCTGAAAATTACCCAAAAGACTAAGTTGCATTTACATCTCATTGCTGGTTAGCCTGAATATCTTCAGTCTGTTTAGATCTGATTGATTCTGCTTCGGAAAACAAACTCTTCCTAAGCCAAATTAAACACGATGTTATGCGGACTTAATTTTTTTTCTTATTCTTGAAATGCAAACACTATCCTTTAGACAGAGAAAAGATAGTAGGGTCAGGGAAAAAAAACATCTTAATTTATTTCTGCAGATCTTGGTTCAAGGGCGACCCACTCATAACTTATTTAGCTACTATGCTAATGCATATTTCAGCATTAATGACGTGTGCCATAAATAGCTGAGCTTACAAGTACACTGATGATCAAGTGATGTGGTATGGGCTAACTTACCTAAAAACCAATTAGAATTCAGTGCAACAGTGAATTTTAGCCCCAGGAGTCACTTGACACATCTCTATCTCATTAGTGCATGAATTCAGAGGTTAGAGGCCATTGAAATGCAGATTCTCAGAAAGAACCGTCCTAAATGTCCTCTATTAGCAGTGATCTGTCATTGCTAATATAGTATTCATACTATTTGAACTACTACAGACATAACAGTGCGGTAAATGAGTCTTCACCTTTTATAATAAATAAATAAATAAAATCCACTATTGTGAATGCAATGAAAATTGTATGACCACTACAAATGGTACAAAATAGAGCCTTTAAGTTGTTTTACATAAGTTTGCAACATTGCAACCCAGTTACTACAATTTGGGACATTATAAAATCAGTGTGAAATACAATCATGTGTGTATATTCTGTCTCTTGTCTTTTTTAATCAATAAACATTAAAGAAACCTGAAAATAAGCACATACATAAATAAATAAATAAACAAATAAATACAATTAGAATAGTTAGAGTTGTATCCTAAATTACATTAAGATGCAAGTCAGAGTGCTTTTTAGTTAGTAATAAACTTTTATTTGACAAAAACATAATCCCTGCAATCCCGGACTGTAATTCCTGTGTTGTTTCCAGCATGGGCAAACTCCCAATATTACTGAACAAGCATGACGCTGTTGAAAGCCTGATGAGGTCCACCTGCTGCCTCCTCTCACTGCAGGGCCAACTGGCCCATCTCCAGCCTGGCAGAATTTTACCAGCAGTACATTATAAACTGCAGAGATAATACATTCAGGCAAGAGAAGTGAGAGAAAGTGTAGGGTCAACACTTCACATAGCTCTCGTTGGCACATGGAGTACTGATTGCTACTGCAGAGTGATACAGTATTCCAGCAGAAAGAGGGGGAGATTTTGGGGTCATATACACTTATAGAGTGCATTAGTACCTGCCCAGCAGAAGATTTTTTTCCCCTTGTTCATTTTTTCCATATGGATATTAAAAAAGTCTTCAGTGAAGCGTTATAAGCCTTGAACTAAACCAACCAGCTACAAGGTGAATCACAACATTACAAATTTTTATTTGAAGTAAAAGGGTATTTGAAAATCAGACAAAAAGACAAAGGAACAAGACTGTGTACTTAAGAACATTAACACTGGCTTTAATGAGGGAAAGAACTATGATGCTGGCTAATGTAGATTTTTGCCATACATTTTGTTAAACATGATTGTTTTAAAAAAATAAGAGGAAATAATGCAAAAAAGATGGCTTCAACAAAAGCATGTACCATCGATTAACAACCTTGGAGCTCTGATTGGTCTGTGTTTAATAATCCTATAACTTTTGTTTTGGCTTATTTTCAGGTTTAAATAGGATTTTGCAACCTACTTTTGAACCTCACTCTATTAGGTTATAAAGAATAATACTCAAAGAAAAGAGATGGAAACGGCAGAGAGCAGCACTAAAGTTAATATTTACAAAGATACAATTACAATAACAAGGAGTGCTTTTTTATATCAATGCTTGGTTACAATTTTTCCAATAAACAGCTGTGATATTTTAATATAAAGCCACCAAACAGAAATCAACTAAATCCAGTATCACACCTTAAAGAACCTAAAACAGCCTCCTGAAATCTACACCAACAATTAGGTAAGTTTTATCAGTCTTTATCGCATCACGTCCCGCGACTCTTGTATCGGAATACGTCTCATATCAGGATACCCAACCCTTTAGTCTGAAGGCTAATGCTTTGGTTTTGGATGTCAATGTGACAGAGAGACAACAGCCACAATCTGGCCCTCGATATGTTTGCTAAAGGTGTCCTCTGAGAGGCCAGGTGGCATGAGCTAGTAATCACCCTGCATGACCTGAACACACCGCACACAAACACATGAAGCTATGCGCAACATGAAGAGAGAGAGAGAGAGAGACTTTATGCATTTTATGCACACTATACATAACACATAAAAGTGTACAGTATGTTGACAGTCAGGCTTATTGATTGGCCTTTAGCTAGATACAGCTAAAAACATTATGCACAGTATGTTCAACACAACCTAAAGGGCCAACGGCAATCAATGCCGATGTCTGTGTTCCTTCCATTACAAAAGTTATTTTGAATTTGACATGCCAAAATTAATATAACATTTTTAATTACTGTAACAGTATTTACACTTTACAATTTGTAATAAAGATTCCTTAGCACCAAATCAGAGTGATTTCTGAAGAATCATGTGATACTGAAGACTGCTAAAAATTCAGCTTTGCCATCACAGGATGAAATATATTATTGTAATAGTGTACTGTTTTTAAAATGTATTACTGTTTTGCTGTATTTTTTATTAATTTAATGCATCCTTGATAAGCATAAGTTACTTCTTTATATACTTTATGTGGTTAAAATTTTAACAAGGCAGCATTAATTTGGCATTAATATTGTGTATAGTGACATTATAATATAGTGACATTAGTACTGTCCTGCATATGTTCTTCAGATCAACGTCCTACAGCGAATGACAAACTGAGCAATAACAGCTCGGTTGTAAGACATTTAGTGGATACTTGCTTTCTGTGGCATTTTAAAATGGAGAGAAAATAAAAAGCGAAAGAGGGAAGAGAACAAGGGAATGGAAGTTAGATTTATAATACCAAGTTCACATTTCTGCTGTTTCATGCTGTTACGGGTGGCAAAGTGTGGGGGGAGGGGATAGTATCAATACACAGTAAGACATGAGCACCACGGCAACACACACTCTCTCTCTCTCTCTCTCTCTCTCTCTCTCTCTCTCTCACACACACACACACACACACACACACACACACACACACAGAGAGAGAGTGACAAGTAATGTCTTTGACTCAGCAGGTTCTTTCAAAAACAAAAACAATTTCAATGGATCTTGAGACATGGTGACATTTGATCATGATTCAGGAACACCAATTGAATGTCCATATGTGGGGTCCAAAAATCTAGGATTTAAAGTACTTTTTTTTTGCTCTTTTAGGTTTTTGAATTAAGCTAAAATTGAGAAATTATTAAATGTAATGATTTAATAGATGAAGAAATGTTAGAATGCAAAATGAAGAACTAGTTTTCAGGATTTCAGTTTACATCTTGCTCTGAACAATGTGACAAGAATGCACCTGACATCATAATTACAACTTCCCAACTCATAAATAACTTCCATTAATTTGCCTATGCATGTAAGCTCTATTATCTAAAAATGGCAACAAATCATTACTACACTTATCACCTGTATCAGTGTTTACAGCATGCATAATGTTATGTAACATCCTAGCTGAATCAAAGTAGGCAGGGAAACAGAGTGATCCACCCTTCAGACATATGGAGTGAGTCAGGTTTAGAGAGAGGGAGAGGTGGGGCAGGCTTTGAGATCATAATGCAGCGAAGCCTCACTGTTGCCTCATCAGGATTCTGGGCAGTGTACTGCATTGTCAGCATGCTCTCGCTCGCTCTCTCTCTCTCAGCACTCCAACTCCTCTACAGTGCTTTGTAGGGTAGCTCCTAACTCTGCTGTGAGTTACAGATGAGCTGAATGGTGGTCAATGTCTATTGTAGACATACCACTTCCCCAAGGGCTTTTAAGAGCAGCTGAAGAACACAGAAAATGCTTGCCGCCTCGTGCCAGTCCTCATCAGGAATGCATCCAAAATGTTTTTTTCTTTTCTGCCTCTCTCTCTCTCTCTCTCCATCGGTTAACTACAAAATCAATCATAAGTGCTCTGTTATAGTCTCTGCTAATGCGAGGCACAAAACCTGAGAAAAAGTTTACTAAAATTCACAGTTTGTTATGCTATGCTATCTTTTCATTTGGTCTGCTTTGTATAGTCTGTTTTAAATGACGTATCCTTTGCTGCCCATGATATCCCAAAATGCTGGAAAAAAATAAAATCTGAAAGTATGGTTGGAAATGTAAAGTGGTGCCTTGAAAAACAGTTTGAAACCAGTTTCAATAGAAGAGACATTCATACAAAAATGCTAGATGTTAGGTCAATGACTGACTTGGCAATAAGGGGACTTATATTAAAAAGTTATTACTGTAAATGTGGAGTTTTCACTGTTATGGGAAGGAATTGGGGGGGGGGGGTACCTTTTTCTCTCTCTCTCTCTCTCTCTCTCTCTCACACACACACACACACACACACACACACACACACACACAGAGAGAGAGTGACAAGTAATGTCTTTGACTCAGCAGGTTCTTTCAAAAACAAAAACAATTTCAATGGATCTTGAGACATGGTGACATTTGATCATGATTCAGGAACACCAATTGAATGTCCATATGTGGGGTCCAAAAATCTAGGATTTAAAGTACTTTTTTTTTGCTCTTTTAGGTTTTTGAATTAAGCTAAAATTGAGAAATTATTAAATGTAATGATTTAATAGATGAAGAAATGTTAGAATGCAAAATGAAGAACTAGTTTTCAGGATTTCAGTTTACATCTTGCTCTGAACAATGTGACAAGAATGCACCTGACATCATAATTACAACTTCCCAACTCATAAATAACTTCCATTAATTTGCCTATGCATGTAAGCTCTATTATCTAAAAATGGCAACAAATCATTACTACACTTATCACCTGTATCAGTGTCTACAGCATGCATAATGTTATGTAACATCCTAGCTGAATCAAAGTAGGCAGGGAAACAGAGTGATCCACCCTTCAGACATATGGAGTGAGTCAGGTTTAGAGAGAGGGAGAGGTGGGGCAGGCTTTGAGATCATAATGCAGCGAAGCCTCACTGTTGCCTCATCAGGATTCTGGGCAGTGTACTGCATTGTCAGCATGCTCTCGCTCGCTCTCTCTCTCTCAGCACTCCAACTCCTCTACAGTGCTTTGTAGGGTAGCTCCTAACTCTGCTGTGAGTTACAGATGAGCTGAATGGTGGTCAATGTCTATTGTAGACATACCACTTCCCCAAGGGCTTTTAAGAGCAGCTGAAGAACACAGAAAATGCTTGCCGCCTCGTGCCAGTCCTCATCAGGAATGCATCCAAAATGTTTTTTTCTTTTCTGCCTCTCTCTCTCTCTCTCTCCATCGGTTAACTACAAAATCAATCATAAGTGCTCTGTTATAGTCTCTGCTAATGCGAGGCACAAAACCTGAGAAAAAGTTTACTAAAATTCACAGTTTGTTATGCTATGCTATCTTTTCATTTGGTCTGCTTTGTATAGTCTGTTTTAAATGACGTATCCTTTGCTGCCCATGATATCCCAAAATGCTGGAAAAAAATAAAATCTGAAAGTATGGTTGGAAATGTAAAGTGGTGCCTTGAAAAACAGTTTGAAACCAGTTTCAATAGAAGAGACATTCATACAAAAATGCTAGATGTTAGGTCAATGACTGACTTGGCAATAAGGGGACTTATATTAAAAAGTTATTACTGTAAATGTGGAGTTTTCACTGTTATGGGAAGGAATTGGGGGGGGGGGGGTTACATTTTATTAAAGCTTAGATTTTAAAAAGTTTAACTTGAAAAAAAAGTTGCATTTGACAAAAAAATCTTAATCTGAAATAACAGTCTGACTTTACATTATAGGCCTGTATCCACACCTGTATCACTTCTGTAGAACACAAAAGATGTTATATTTTGAAGACCCCATAGACTTTTATTGAATGGAAAAAACAACAGCACTGAAACATTTTTTAAATATGATCTTTTATCTTCCATAGAAGACAGTGTCATACAGGTTTAGAACGACATGAAAGTAAATGATGACAGCATAAAAAATTTTTTTGGGTGAACTATCCCTTCAAATCATTAACATGTAGAGCAGCACAAAGCTGAGCTGGAAGTCCAGTCACTTTAGGATCTGCCGTCCACCTTCTTTTTCTTATATACTCCAGAATAGATCATCTGGACTATCACAATCATCTCACTCCAGTAAAAATACAGTACAACTGAATATATGAAGCACCTAGCAACCCTACGACTGCAGTGAACCAATCACAGTGCAGAGTCTGAACTGAAGCCAAAACTCTGTGAAAGTAGACAGTGATCACCTACAGAGTGCTAAAACATGAGTGTAGACGTAAGAGATGCATCAGCGTACAAATAGAGATGCAATACATCTCTTCTAAAATGATCAGACATGGCATTTGTTAAGGTTATTTCCACAGAATAGGACTGGTTTAACAACTCTCACTGAGCATCAAAGAAAACAAAGGATTCTGGCATGTAAAAAAATCAACCAAGACTACAGATACGATTCTAAAAAGACATACTGCAGTTGCACACTCACCAGTGTCCTGTGCTGTGTTTCTGCCTGATAACTCCAGCTTGGCTTTCACTGTTGAAACACAGATGGGCTGAGCAGAATCCTGTCTGAAAGGTGTAAGAAAGGAAGAGACAGACAGGGAAGAGAGAGAAAGGGAGGAGTGAGCTCAGGATGTTGCCAGTGCTTTGGCTTGCAGTAATGTATTCCTCTCCAAGCTCAGCGAATCTGCTAACCGGCTATACAGATCATCAACTCTGAATGTGTGTGTGTGTGTGTGTGTGTGTGTGTGTGTGTGTGTGT